AGTGCAGACACACGGGCGGGCCTGGGACCCAATGGGGGATGAGACCGGACTGTCAGCACTTCCTAGCACAGCTGGCACGGGTCCTAGGGGGCCCCCCCCGGAACCGGCAATATCGGGGCCACAAGCAGAACCCCATGTATCCACAGCATCGGCACGCAGCACGGCAAGGAGGCGACCTAAAACATCAGCGGGCTCCACAACTTGATCAGCACCTACAGCGACCTGCAACAGGTGCGCGGCCCAGCCAAAGATCCAACCTGCCTGAATGGGAGAGGCCAACTGACCAACTGCGCACAAGGCAAGACGCAGATCATTTCCCCAATCCAACTGAGGTGAAAGCCCACACAGGATAGCTACCTCTGACGGGTGCAGATGGCGAAAGTTGGGAACCTCGGTGCCCTCCACAAGGGTGTACCCTTCAACGCGCACAAGAGGCTCCCAAAGGCCTTTGGACTCGAGGCGATAGGTGGAGAACCCTATGGTCCGACAGCCGCAACGGCAGGCGTAAAGCTGGTTGCCCCAACTGTGAAGTGCCGTCGGAAGCTGGGCACGCATGTTGATCTCGCTCAGCCCTCCATACATCATGAAGTTGCGCAATTCATACGGTGTCAGCCTAAGCTGATCCAGCTCCGCCGGTGGCAGAATCGGGAGCTCATGGAGGACGTCCCGCACCTGCAGCCCTTGCAAGGCCGGCGCCCACCGGGGGATGGGCGTATCGGGCAGATATGGCGGCAAGATGATGCACCACCACCGCTCTCTCTTGGCTGCCCACACTTGGCCCAACTGCAAGGTGGTCTGAATCGCCTTGCAACCAGTGACGGCACAGTATTGCTGAATCGCCCCTTGCACAAAGGGATCGGTCAGGGCCTGGCCAACGCACTCAATGATGACCATGTGGATGCCCCACAGCCAGGAAGCACGGAGGACACCCATAAGGCTCCAAGCCCTCGGATCATCGCCGGATTGGCCATCACCACCCCTACTGTACGGCTGGCAAGCAACACCTGCGGACACCACGTGGGCAACCACCCCAAGCTGACTGACCTGCTGCACAGTGCGCTCATCGGTGATGTCCCCAACGACCACATGTGATGCGGTGTTGCGCTGCAAGAGCTGCGCCAGGGAGGGCTGCTTCTCAACGTGGGCAACAGTGCGAAACCCAGCAAACCGGGCCCCCTGGGATGTGGCTCCCAAACCTGCACAGCACTCAATCACGGAAGACAGACTATCCACCGTTGGCACAGAATGGGCGAAGACCGAAGAGTCAACAGTGCGGACCAGAAGGAATCCCCCACAAGCAGAACGAGTGAGGAAGCCAAACAAGGTAACCCGGCTTGGCCCCCTAGGGAGGGGGCCAACCACGCGGCACACCTGGTGTGTCAGGGCAGTGGCGCAAACCCAGATGTCACCAGGTCCTTCGGCCAGAACATCCACCACGGTGTGGACGATCTGCCCAGCGCACAGTGGGCCCTGGAAGGGCGGCAGATTGCAGGAGGTGGAACGCACAGGCGAAGCTTCGGACATGGCGAGATACCCTCAGGAAGTCAGCCCGCTCAGCCCGACCCGCTGGAAGGTCCCCTGAGCCCAGGCTCAGCCAAACACCAAAATAAATATATTGTTTGGGGAAAGACTACGTGAACAGGGCCCAGAACTTCAAGTTAGTGAGAAACAAAACACAAAAACACAGCAAGTAGGGAACAAGGCAAACCCTGTAATTCTAAAGCTCTTTGCCTTGACCATTTTCTATGGTAGGGAAAACTGAAACATGAGCTTTCTTCTACCATCTCTCATGGCTCCCTGCGAGGCCAAGTCAACCAACAAGGGCCAAGGGTTTTCTAACCAAACCCATCAAGCTGCTTTTTCTACCGGTGGATTCCCACTGATGGTCAACCTCTGTTTTTCCAGTGCATGTTCAGGGTTTCCCGCTGAACCGGGGAGACGACTGACGACTGACGACTGGCCCGCCAGGCGCCTCGAGCCTGGGGAATCTCCAGCAACCGCTGGACCTCAGGCAATGGGTTCAAATGGCTTCGGGGTCCCCACTTGCTTGCGAGTGGGGAATTTGGAGGGGAGTGAACCGTTTGGGATCCTGGAAAATACAAGGGATAGGAGTCACTCCCTCATCACTGAGAACCGGCAAGTAAATGAGGGATGTAGGTTGCCCCATTCCAAAGGGGTGCGAAGGAAACTTGGACACCAGAAGTGGGGCAGGCAAGTTCTCCACAAGACTCCCATCAAGCGTGAATCGAGCCTGTTTTCACTTGCAGCCACGCAGCCAACGCACAACCATTTGGGGCAAACGCCATCGCAACAGGACTTTTGACTCCCAAACGAAGTTCGACGAGGGGCATGATTTTGTCTCAAACTCGGGGCCCAATCAAAAATCAGCTGTTTTGTCGCTGTTGTTTAGTGTTATTACTCATGTTACTTATGTTGTTATTAGTGTTGTTGTTTTATCGCTGTTGTTTAATTTATTACTTATGTTGTTATTAGTGTTGTTGTTACCATTCGTCTTATTATTATTATTATTAGTAGTAGTAGTAGCATTATTATTATAGTAGTAGTATTATTATTATGATGATTTTGTCAAACAATAATCATTATTATCGATAGAAATTATGAATAGCATTATTAGTATTATTATCATTATTGTTATTAATAGTAATTAATTTTATTGCCATTGTCCCTTTCATCGTTATCATTTCCAAACTCGCCAGTGGCACCTCTGCCAGGGACAACATCTCGGTGGCAAGCGACAGCATGCTGCACAACGCTTGCCCCCGGCGCCGGGGGCAGCAGTCTCTGCACTCCACGTCGACGCAGCGCCTCGGGCCGTCAGATGGCATGGGGTTCAACGGTAGGTTTGGGGTTGGTTTTCAACCGGTTGGTGCGGGTTGGCTCAACGGTTGGTGTGGGGAGGGTTTAGAGTTTAAGGTTTCTGGATTGTATACGTTCTGACATGGCAAACGCAAAGCTCACACTTGTTTTGGCCAATCCACTCAGGAAGTAGCCAGAAACGTGGATGTTCCTCTATAGGACTTGCAATGACGAAGCCATAATGGTAGAACTTTGGCGGCTAGGTTTTCACTGCCCAAGGCAGCGAATCGACACCAAACAACCCTTAAAAGCTTACCTAGGAAAGAGACGCACATAGACATACATGCATTGCCAGACTTTGCTAAACCTGTTTATATTCTGATCTTTTTGAATCTGATGTTCGTCCGTTTTCTCTTTCAACCAGCAG